TCAAGAAACAACTAAAAACGCTGTTGTATAAGCGGGCCTTTCCAACAGAAAACTCCTGACGATTTTCTCTCTATACCTTTTTAATTTCTATCTTTCTTAAATTGTAATGTTTTAAAATTTTGTTGTTGTTGTTTGTTGTAAGCCGCCTAGAGTGGTCTAATACGACCAGATAGGCGGGATAGAAATAAAATAAATAAATAAATAAATAAATGATCACAAATGGTGACAGCAGCCACAAAATTAAAAGTCACCTGCTTCTTGGGAGGAAAGAGATGATAAACCTAGACAGCATCTTAAAAAGCAGAGACCTCACCTTGCTGACAAAGGTCTGCATCATCAAAGCTATGGTTTTTCCAGTAGCGATGTATGGAAGTGAGAGCTGGACCATAAAGAAGGCTGACCACCGAATAATTCTTTTGAATTGTGATGCTGGAGGAGACTCTTGAGAATCCCCTGGACAGCAAAGAGAACAAACCTATCCATTTTGAAGGAAATCAACCCTGAGTGCTCACTGGAAGGACAGGTCCTGAAGCTGTGGCTCCAATAATTTGGCCATCTGATGAGAAAGGAAGACACCCTGGAAAAGATCCTGATGTTGGGAGTGTGTGAGGGCAAGAGGAGAAGGGGACAACAGAGGACGAGATGGTTGGACAGTGTCATTGAAGCTATCAACATGAATTTGACCAAACTCCAGGAGGCAGTGGAAGACAGGAGGGCCTGGCGTGCTCTGGTCCATGGGGTCACAAAGAGTCAGACACGACTTAATGACTAAACAACAAGAGGCTGAATGCGTTCTGACAGCACATAACAGATAGAACATTATCTGTGGAGGTGCTTCTGAAGAATATCTCTTGCTTCATCCCTGAGATTAGGGGAGGTGGTGCAAGTTGGTGCAGTTTATGTAACATATTGCAGTACTATGAAACCAAGTATAAATACATCCAGTTTTAAATCAACTTGAGCAATCAAAGAGTCATATTTTGGGGGGCCCTAATTGTGGAGCTGATTATTTGTTATATGTTCTTCCTTTCCATGCTTTTGTAAGATAGTGTTGGCTTTGCCATTCTTTCTTCTCCAATAAATTATAAGTTCTTGAATTAGTTAAGTAATTATCTCCATCATTAAGCTCTTTGTAAACATTTTTATTATTGTCCTCTTTCAGGACTCACCAGGAAGACAAATGCTGTTCCTTTCTGTCATCTACACCACTGGATATGCTTTATCTTTATGTGCTCTTGTCATAGCCACTGGCATCCTCCTTGGTTTCAGGTACTCATGATATGGCCAGAATGGGTTGCAACTACCGAAATAAATAAACAAAAACCCAGCATTTGATTAGTGCCTATTTGTCCTAGTAATAGTTTCTAGGTTTTGCATAGTTTAAAAAAGACAAGTTATGTGGTAAAAGAAAATGGGTAGTTTTTTAAAAAGCTCATTAGGTTCAGCTTTTTGTAAACATCAAAACAGTTTCAAGGTCCAACTTTAAAGACAAAATTTGTGGTAAATGCTTGAATGCTACACATCTCAGGTAGCAGGAAAGCTGGAATGCAAGAATATTATGCCCTCCTTTACTGCAGTGTAGCAAATAGCAATAATCTGCCTTTATCAGTTGCAGCTCCCAGTGTGGCTGATGTACTTGATGTTTCAAGGAGATGTTATTTGTGCTTAACAGAGAAGACATTTTTTCCATCCTGAAGGAAAAATTAATACAGTTCTACTTAGAGCTCAATCAGAGGGGCATTTGTCCTGCTCTTTGGTGCACTGCAGGGGTCGATTGGTTCACTCTTTTTTCTGGTGGTCACCTGACATAATCACTAGAGCTGACCAATTTGCCCCCAGAGTGCTCCTAACTGCACCTTTTTGGTCTCCTGTCAGGGGCTTCTCCTTTTTGTGTGTGTGTGTTGGTGTGCTGCAGTTTGGTCAGTTCCCAGTCCATGAGATCACTGGAAATGGACCAAAACCAAGCCTTTCTGGTGTCAAAGTTGTCAAGGCTTCTTCCTGTGTTCATTTTCAGTATTGTGAAGTGGCTTAATAAACTGCAATTGCTGGCTGTTTCTTGATCAGCACTACGTACAAAGCAAAGAAAAATTTTTTTTCAAAAAAATTTAATCAGAGTGATTCAGTTTGCCAGCAGTAGTCTACCAGAAGCAAAATAAATAATATTTTTTTCACTTCCCTTGCTTTTCCTCAGAGGAATAGGTGAAGTATTCAGTTTGCCAATATGATACTGGAAATAGAGTCACTTGAGGTTGGTATGCTATTTGGATTTGAGGATCACACCAAATGGCATCTTACATCCTCTCCCTAACCTTAAGAAACTGTATTTAGAATACACCAGCTTGCAGCAAAAGGGTCAGTGCATTGCATTTTTAGTTTGAAGTGATAGTACCATTATGATTCAATTAAGTGACACTGTTGAGGAAACTTTGGAAGGACTTTTAACTTGGACATGGCTTAAAGATCTTTCAGGAATGTTTAGCTTTAACACTGACAGCTCATTTTTAGTTAGAAGGAGAGACAAAACAGCAGCTTTCCCTTTTTGCAGTGCTGTGCTGTACCACATACCTGCCTTGCAGTTGGGTTTGTTATGAGAAGGTAAAAAGTCGATGAATATTTTTGGTTTCTGGACAAGATATGTTGGCAAATTAAAAGGGGGAGAGATAAGAGGAGGAAAAGCAAATAACAAAATCTAGGGGGAGATAATAAATCACCTGGCTACAGCTTGTAATTCTATTTGTTTGTTTATTATTTGAATTTATATCCCACACCATCTGGCAACCAGGCCACTCTTTAGATAATTAACATCTTAATACTCCCATTCCTGTGTTACTTTGCCTGTTGTCTATATCCTTACTTGGTCATGATTGCCCCCCCCCCCCCGAACTGTGGTAATTGTATTAATACAGATGGTTCAGTATGAGCACTTCATATGCTTACAGAAATGGATCTGGATCTGTGAAAGCTCACACAGAAACAAATATGTTAGTCTTCAAGGTGCCACAACTTTTTGTCCTTTGCTTTTTCTTCTTTTTGTATTATTTCGTTTCACTTTGTTTTTCCATTTAATTTTGCCAACATGATGAGGCAGACTAACACAACCACTTCTTTGGTCACTGAATGAGGTGTTGCCATTACAACTTTTAGCCATTGAACTTTTCTCTTTTTTGACACATTGTGGTGTCTATTCTCTGTAATGTGCATATGTAATTTTTACTCTGTGAACCTAAAGATGAAATCACATTCCACTTGCCCCCATGGGCCATAAATTCTCCCTTAAGTGTCACATCAGTATGTACACCTCAGTCATTCTTAAACAGTAGTTATGATGTCTCTTTGACAGAAATTGGTGTTTATGCTGCAGTTCCTAATGTGTGGTAAAGTGAAGTATGATTCATTGAGAATATTTTTAAAATTTTGTTCTAAGCGACTAGGAGTTCAGTTTAGAATGATCCAGTCTTTTAAAACCTTTTGCTGCGACTAGTAAAAATCACACCCCAGTTTTATTTACTTTCCCATTTTTTATCTCAATGTGAATAAAATTTTTCCACTTCTACCCACCTTTTATCTGAAAGTGATATTAAATTTGTCAGTGTGAAGGCATTGAGTTTGCATTCCTGTTCAAAGCAAAACAAAATTCTGCAGCAGTGTCGAATTTTAACCATAAGTGGTTGATTTACGCATTTTAGTTTTGTGCAGAACTCCCTTGTTGCCTTATTTGACGGTCATTACATCCTACTCATGTTAGGTGACTTGGGATTCATTATTATATTTATAGGCATCTGCATTGCACCAGGAATTACATTCACTTGAACCTTTTCACCTCCTTTATCCTACGTGCTGCCTCCATCTTTATAAAGGACTCCATGCTAACTTGGATGTACAAAACAGCACCTCGTGAAGAACAGTGGGAGAGTTTAATTTCATATCAGGTAGGTTAATGAGGTTAGTCTTTTGTAGAAGTGTAGTAGTATAATTTCAATATATCTGCATAAAAATCTTCCATCTTCATTTGTAGAAAAAGGTATTCCAGAATTGTATGAGATTTGAACACCACCATGTGACTGTAAGTGTCTCAGTGTTGGGCATCCAGCTGTTAGGCTTGGTTAGTGAATTATTTATCTGATGCAGTGGTCCAGAAAAACATCAGGGAAAGGCTGTATGGTCCTTAAGATTCAACAAATGCGAGATTAGGTGATACCTTTTATCACCATAAGGTGGAAAATTCCAACCATGCAGCCGTCATGGGGCTTGAGACTGCATACACACACCTGAGGGGCAGTTTGCATTCATCATGTGATCTCATCTCAAGGAAACCTGGAACAAATATCTGCCATGAATTTTTGGAACCTATAGAACCTATAATAGTCCTATAGAAGTATTGCCTACTCTTGCGCCTGATAAGTAGAAATCTCTCAGTTCTCTTGATCATAGAAAGTTTTCTTCTATAATCTGTTTCCCTTTTATTTCCAGTAGTTTTCTCTAGTAAAATCAAAAGGCAGCAAGCGACATATTTGCATGCAAAAGTGGATATTTCAAACAATCTTTTGAAAACAGAACTATTTAAAATATCCCGAGTCTTCTACTGTGTGTATAGAAAGATGGCCTTTTATATGCCATCCCAATATCAAAACAAATTACAAGAAATATCGCCTCAAGTGTTGAGTGATAATTTTACCAGAATTTCCCCAAAGCCTTAGATACCAAAGCAGTAATGCCTTGATATATTATTATCCCTGGTAAGTAAATGTGCCTTGAGTAATAACAACCTGATTGGCTACAAAGCAATAAAGTACGTATTCATATTTGTAATAATAATAATGTGCCATCAAATCATTTTCAATTTACTGCATCTCTCATACAAAATAGAAATTTGGAATCAAGTCACCTGTGTGCTTTATCTTCAGAAGACACAGTTTGTTTTGGACTCCTGCATCTCTGCAGTGCTTGTGGTATGGGATAGATCACTGGAGCTGTACTGGAATGGGGCAATTTGCAAATTGCTTAGAAACACTTTTTGCAAGCAACTCTCTGTTCATATAAGGTGATTCTGCTGAATTTTGGACACTTGTTCCAGCAGGCTCGGCACACTGCATCCTTTGTGTCTTTCTACGGATGAGTGCTTTTTTCCATTTATTTGTTCTTATGATCAAAGCCAATATTTGTTACATGCCATAAATCTGTATCTCATGTATACATGTAGGAGGACAGTGGCCTTGAAGGGCAGCTAAGAAAATCATGGTGTGGGTGAGAGAAGAAGCAATCTGCTTTTGAATCTAGTTTCTTTGTACCTGCTGTTCAGATACTAATACTCATTTTAATTAAGACTTTGCTGGGGGAAAGATTGTATCTGTCATGTCACCTACTCTTGTTTTTTATTTCCTGCTTGTCTTTTAGTACATCTGCTGTATTTGCTAGGTCCTCTTTTCCCTGCTTTCAGGAATCCCTTAGCTGTCGCTTGATCTTTGTGATGATGCAGTATTGTGTGACTGCAAACTACTATTGGCTGCTGGTAGAAGGAATGTACCTGTATACATTGCTGGCATTATCCGTGTTTTCTGAGCAGAGAATCTTTCGGCTTTACCTTTGCATTGGCTGGGGTAAGTCAGTCTCCCCTGCCCCCAACCTTTTACAAATAGTGTTTTTATTTGCTTCTGTGTTCTGGAATAAATAGAATGTTGTGAAAAAAAGAGAATAGTGTCTCTTTGACTACTCAGGGACATCAGACTTTTTAAGTACTTTGGTTTTGTCCTTCTAAACTCAAAAATATATTTTAGAAGGGAAAATAGCCATATACTTGCAGATTATTTTACTTTCTTGTGTAAAGCTTTGCACAAAACATTATATTCTTCTCTTTCACCAGCAGTGATGGTGACTACCTACATTAAGAAGTATGAGAGATTACCCTGAGATCTTAATATTGCTGGTCACAGGATAAAGTAATAAAATGTTTCTCAGATTGGCCAGAATAGTAGCTTCCTTGTAGAGAGTGGGGGCAGATTCCATGTTAAAATCATGTAAATTCAGGAGATCCATGCTTAGATCAGTCTTTTTGCACCATTGCAAAGCCATGCACCATTCACTTCTGTGGTGTATATGCGATACAACTGTGTTTCTTTTTGTCAGTAAGATCCTTGGTTGTACATTGATTTTGAAAAATAATTCTCTGAATTCTCCTGCATATAATTCATAGTTTAACCATTCATGTATGGCTAAAATATTCCAAGTGCTCCCTACAAGGGCTTCCCTCCTGGTCAATATGAGGATGTTCATTTTGAAAGTTGTGAACATGCATAAATCCTGGTTATCTGCACCTGCTACATCACAATGTACAACCGTACACAAGTGCATATAAACCTTGCAAAGCACACACACACACACACACACACACACACACACCAAATAGTTACAATTTGGTACTAATATGATGTTTATGACATAGGATTTATAAATAAACAAACTGCACTATTAGATGTTTGGCAAGCTGGGATGGCTTGGACACAGGTATTTTATATTTGGTATTTGTGAGTATAACCCCAACACCCTGTCAAGTTTTTTTTAAATTATCTTGGCAACCTCCACAAGGCAACTAGGAGCAAGATGGTAGTATGTAACCTCCAGCATACTTAATGTTTGTCATTTGTGTATCTTCTACCAAAATGGAATTTTGTGGAATTGAATACATGTAAGGACAGAAACAGTAAGAACTTTGAATATGTCCAAACCTCTCCTGGCTACAAAGCCCTTGAAGCTGGCTTGAGTCCCATTCATGGGAGGAAGGTAGGATCTAAATGGAATGAATTAATTTAAAAGGATAACTTAGACCTATCAATCAAAAGCCATGGTGAGACTTGCACTTCAGTCCTGAACAGTGTACATCACAAGTCAGACCAGCAGGTTTCTATAATCACATAAGACCTATTGTTTTAAAAACCTCTGTCATGATGATGGGATATGCAGTCAGAGAAATGTAAGATGGACTTACACAGATTCTGTGTGAAGATGATTTGAGAGACATTGGAATGTGTTTTTCTAAGTACCATGAGAGTGTTTTCCCGAGGACCGTTACAGCCTGGTTCGAGATAGTGATAAAGGCTCAGTTGAGAGGCCTGTGGAAGACTCAACATTCCAAGCTAATTGGAGAAGAGATAAACAACACCTGGACTCTCATGGGAATAAGGAGAGGAGGAAGGTGGTACAGCCTCTTAAGGCTAATTGGTTAACAGCCAGAATTGTCAAGAAGAAGGGAGGAGTTAGAGAAAGTAGAAAATGGATGATGGGTTATGTGTAATTCAGTTAATTCAATACTGAATGTTGAATGGAGATTCATATATTGTTTTGATCTGGGTTCGATTCCATGAAGGAGAGAGGATGTAATTAATGAGAAAGATAGAGGTAGGGCTAGCCCACTATAGCCCACCTTAGTTAGCTTACTAGTGTTTGTTATTTTAATTGGGAAATAGTTATTTTATTTAACTGTAATGATATTTGAATATGTTCTTGATGTTAAAGCTTGTGCAATATAAACTGATTCCCAATGAAACACTATTTTGTAATAAAAAATAATAATAATTCTACAAAAGGACTGGTCTCTTGAACAGCAGGGTCTGGCTAAATTCAGGAGGTGGAGAAGGCCATAAACTAGCTATATTTTAAGAGTCCTACCTAACTGAGCTTTAGTGAGTTCTAAGGAATCAAAAAGCCCATGTGTCTGTACTTGCAAAGTACTGATTAAGAGTAAAGTGTTCTTTTTACGGTCAGACTTGTTCAAAGGGCTTATGCTACACACTGATGAGGTCTTGGGACTTGCCCCAGCACAAAGGTGGTAGGTAGGTGGCCTGTCAGACTCTCTGGCTGAATGCCAGCGGCCCTTTAAGGGGTCCGGTGCACTACAACCTCTACCTGATTGTTTCTTAGAAGCATAGGTTTTCTGATGCTGACCATTCATTAAGACAAGACTCTTAGCAAAAGTCATATTTAGTGCAGAAACTAAACTACTTGTTCCTTTGCTTCACCCTTATTCAGGCATAGTTGTTGCCTACTTGTGTTCTTGCTTGTACTCTGTAGGTGTCCCTGAACCCAGATACTTGAGTTCCTCACTGGTCCCAGTGCTTAGAGATGCTCTGCTGTTTTAGCTTAGCAAGTCTCCTGGCATCTGTTTGGTACACTGCCCATTCTACCTTTGAGTCATATGGTATGAAGTAGCTTGCCAGTTCATTAATGAAGGCTAGTACAGTTTTCAAAAAAATAAAAAATAAAAAATAAAAAAATAAAAATTGATATGCTGAGTTAGTTGGGCTTGGGGATCCCCATTCCCAGATTTCTGGCAGTGCTTTCCTGCTCTGTTTATGATCTTCCTATGCTGTTGAGCATGTCCAGGATAAACTGTTAATGTGATATTAATGTAATTAAACTCCCAGTTGTGATATTAATAGCTGTACTGAGTTTAATAACTGTATAAAATGTGTTACATTAAATGCTAGTCAAATTATATTTTAGGAATATATATTTTTCTTCATGTTTAAATTGTCAGACAGGCTTTTTGCGCTTCTGCAGATTCACCTTCTTGTGTGACCATTCTGGGAAATGAGCTTATTGGTAAAAATCATAAAAATGATCAATTGCAAACTATTTACACAGCCCTATCAAATGCACAGTGATATATTGATGATGAAAACATTGTACTCTATTGAAGGCAATAACTTAATGTGAATAATAAAGAGCTCAGATCGAAATGTTTTAAGCAATTCTGTGTTGTTTTCATAGAGCTAATGACAACTATGGGTACATTTTGTACAATCAAAGTCATACAAAAGAGAAAACATTCAAAATGTTGCACCCTTCAATATAGTTGCCTGAACAAATTGAAATAAAAGAAATTGTTTCCTTCATACCTAGACAGATTCCAAAATTCATTATAAGGAGTACAGATGAATGTCAGTATGTGATACCTTGTCCTGCTTGAGTGCAAGCTTAGGTTAGCAATGCTTGAAGATGATCACTGGGATCCAGGAGAGGATTCTGTATATATTCTAAACAGATGTGTGCAGTTCTTTTCTGTGAGCTGAGAATAACATACTAAAATCTATGTGCATACATTTAAAAAGAGACTGTGAAATAATCACTGTGGAGAAAATATTGTGTGAGTCTTTGAATCATGTATGATTCCATCTGCTTTTCAACAATATACCATTTGTGTATTGAGTGCATTTATTATGAACTTCTTTTAGTAAAGTAATAGTGCTTTCTTACTCCCATTTTGTAGGTTTGCAGACATGGAGATGGCAGATGCAGACATGTGATTCAAGACAATACTTAAACTTTTAATCCTGTTTCTAGATCTTATTACGACACCTGTGCACTAAATCAAACTCTGGCTTCTTTACACATTATGAATTTACCTTTACCTTTACTTACATTTTGTAGCACTTGTGGTGAATAGAGCATTTTCACTCTTAAAAGCACTTTGGGCCATTGTCCCTGCAATGTCCTTCTGTATGTAGTGAGAGAAAACAATTTCATCACACACTGAGTAGAAGAAACATGTATATACAAATCTGGTGTTTGGTACACTTGAATGTATAAAGTGGCTATCATGTTGGTGTTTGTGTAGAAAATAGATTCAGATCTAGTGGTGGCTCAGACAGAAGACCTCACCTCTGCACAGCTTCTCCACCCATTTATGCAACCTAGTTTGCATTCCTTTTCCCTGCCCATTGTGTTCTTTGTCAACCATTCTTACCAGTTTGCGATGACCTCTACTTCTCAGCTATATGAAATGTTTTATGAAAGTTTGATACAGCTCTTAATGAATAAATGGCTAGAGATACATGCAGTGCAATTTTATCCTACACAGGATGGATATGACACAAATATGAAGCCTTACAAAATAATTGTAACAAGACCAGTAAGAAAAGAGTAGCAGTATCCCATTCCTTTGAAACACAAAGAAACTTTGAAAATAATTATGCAAGAAATGATAGCCCAAGGTATCTTGGTACCAGTCCCTTGATAATAGAATTCTCCAATATTGGCTATTCTAGTCAAATAGGAACATTTGAATGGTGATTGATTACAGACAAATGAATAAGCCAGCAATGGATTTTTCTTAGATCTGGCTAGTGTGGGTAAGAACATTCTATATTGATTTTGTGTGTGTTAACAACATGCTTAGGGGCTTAGAAATGTTTTTCATTTTATATTTTCCTGTTATAAGAATTCTGGTGTTATTATATTTAAAAAAAGCTTTTAAAGCTTTTGGAGTTGTTCTACTTCTTTTACTTACCAGTGAACATATTATAGAGATAGTTGTAGAAGGGGTAGCTGTGTTATAGAGCAGTGGTTCTTAACCTTTGTTACTCAGATGCTTTTGAACTGCAACTCCCAGAAACCCCAGTCAGGACAGCTGGTGGTGAAGGCTTCTGGGAGTTGCAGTCCAAAACTCCTGAGTAACCCAAGGTTAAGAACCAGTGTTATAGAGTATTCCCTTTCAGTTGCTTTTTAAAGGTGTTTTTTTAAAGCTCCTTTCTGTTTGATTAAAATATAACTAAGGTTCTTGTATGGAATTTTTGAAGCTTAAAGTTTCCACTTGAGATGTATT